ATATATATGTAAATTAAAACGTCCTTCCGAAGCAGACGACGGTATTTTGATCCCGATGACTGACAGCTTCTTCGAGCAACTCCTCCAACCAAAAATAGCGTCGACAAAGAGTATAATTGTCAAGAATAAGTTTGTATTGAAGATAAAATTGGTTCCACTCTAAAATTTTTTGGTTACTAACAATTATTTTTTTATATTAAATTTGAGATGAGTATGATTGTGTTTTAAATATTACATTATGTATTATTACATGTCAGAAAATTTGTGGTGATAGAGTGATAATTTAACGTCATAACATTACATAGAGATCTAGCACACACATAAATAAAAGTAAACTCAGAGGAGGAGAAACCAAGATTTTTACCTGAAAAGTTCTTGAAAAGAGAAAAAAAAATATAGGATCTGGCCAATTCAAAACAATCCATTAGTAAATTAAAAGTAAAGAGGTCTTATATTCTTGTTAATTAATGAAGATGAGACTACAAAAGTTGACATTCAAAATTTTATAAATGTAGTTTGGTTACAACAGTCATAATTGGGCTACAGGAACTATGGTTAGTTGTTATAATAGACATAGTTGGCTGTAACAATTAATGTAGTGGTTGACAATGATCTTTAGTAGCAAAAATGGAACTCAAGTGGTCGATAATAAATTTTGGTGTCTGATGACAACTACCAAGATTTCATGGTTTAATATTTTTGTAGACAACTCACTATTCTTTTCTCATCTCCCTTCATGTGAAGAATGAGGGTCAAAATATAGTTTTTTGAGAGGAATATTTTGGTACATTAGGCTAAACTCCCAAAATACTCCATCGGATGGTTCACATTTATTCCTTTGATCATAAATGATATTTTTAATGTCTTGATGACAACGTAATTGAATAATCTCTAAGCTCGTTGGACTTCTTATGTCAAGGTGCTCAATTTGACTACAAACATGACAAATTTGGAGATCTTTCACGTATTCAATTGATGCACCAAAACATTTGACCTACTTTAAGTATTTGATCTAAGTTGATTTGAATTCAGATTGTATCACTTTCAATTTCATTAGGAATTTCTTGATGAGATGCTCAACTTGACTATAATTTTGTTGAAATCATATCTTAAATGATATTGAATTTGAAGTTGGAACGTTTCTTACTCAAAATGCATCTAGTTACTTGTTTGATGATAAAAATTGATTGATGACTCAACTAGCATTATTCAATCTATTTATTGTGTGAGTGTAACAAAAATACACTTATTTTAAGTTACTTGTGATATATATAGATAACAACTGAGTAATAGAAGAACATTGGGAATAAAATGGTAGAATTTTAAGTTATCTAGGCATACAACTGTTGAAACTTTGTAATGTTTAAGGAAATGTTGTAAATGCAATCATTTTATTAGTTTATGTTGACATATATTGACAAAAAAGAGTGATTAGATTTTTTTTTAGTTATAGACAAAGACTAAAAAATACTCATTTATTATTTTGTTTTGCCACAAGTCCAAGCTATTTGTGTACATTTGTCTAATTTTATTACTAAATATTTCTCTCAATTTTAAATCTTTACGATTATGATTATGTTTATTTATACTGTGAAACTATTGAATAAAAAAATTATGGATAATATAAATTAATATAGGAGTATGGATAAATTACAAGATTGAGTTAGTGGTGGGAATAGTGTGCCAACCAGTTCAAGTAGAAAGTAGAAGGACCATCTTCCTTCTTTATAGAATGTTCATTAATTTATAATATAATGTTATTGGCTAAGGTTAAGATAATGACATCATGGTTAGAAGTTACAATCAAGGTAGTTTTATAAGTGGATTAGAAGGAGAAATGCTTGGATTTATTGAGGCTTTTAGAGTGTCGTAAGTCAATCATATTCTTACTTCCTCTCCAGCCATGATATAAGGCAATAATAGTAGAGGGTCGCTTGTATTTAGGTGATTTGGAACAAAATGATTAATCATCTGAAAATGTATCATGATATTTATATATAGAAGGTTTTTGTTCATGTAAAACACAACCAAAATGATGACAAAGTCAAGTTAATAGAATGTTGCTGAGATTCATAGGGATCCAGTGGCGGATAAAGGGTCAACCATTAAAAGGCATTCGATTTTGCTTGCAATTATTGAAATACTGATTTTTTCCAAAGATAAAGAAATAGTTAAGGGAAATTAAACTACATTGAGGCATCCTTAAAATTCTCTTTAACATATTTAAAGTTAAGCATGCATCTTTTAAAAATGAAAAGCCTCCCCTTAATAAACTTGGGGCCAACTTTGTTAACTATCTTCAAATCTTCAATACAATCAAACTTTAGAAATAAAGGAACCATTTTTAAGGGAAAGGAGTATGATAGTCTTGTAAGTTCCAAACTTTATTACTATCTTGGAGTTGGTTATCATAGAAGGGCCTTTTATTAATATCATACCCAACAAAAGCCAACCTTCATTTTTAGCGCCTTGTTTCATTTCTTCATTAGAGTAACACTTTATTTTCATGTTAAGGAATATAACATAGGTTAAAATAAGGGGAGTTGGGGCCTGGGGGCCTGAGACAAAAGTAAGCATTTATAGTTCAAGTCTAGAGATGGCCAACCTAGAAGGGAAGCAAAGGAGAGAAAAAAAATAAATAAATAAGGTTCACACGGAAAAAAATGAAGGCACCTTGGCCTTGCAAACCAGAGAAGCTGTTATTAGGGATGCCAAATTGGTTCAAATTACGACAATGAGAGGAAACATTGCCACCTGAGGAAATCTAGTGGTGGAGTTAAAGGTATAAGAGTTTTTTTTTTTTTTTGTGATGGATAATTCTTCTCATTTTCTTGGATTCTCAATTTTTTTTTTTAGCCTTTTAAGAAGGGAAAAAATACGCAACCACCCACCATCTCATCCGCTTGGATTCTCACTTAACAATCAAAATATTTTTGGCTATTAAAAGTGGAACCTGCTTTAATTTATATGATGAGCGTTTGCCGTGTGGATTATTTTAGAAAAACAAAAGAGAAGCGTTAGAAATAAATGAATTTTCTCGGTTCAACAACATGGTCCTTTGTGGCGGTGTAAATAGAGGAAACCCAACCGACAACGAAGGATCGCGGCAACGCCCAGTGAGCTTTGCACCGACGTCACAGCGGCCTACCACGAGGTGGTGACGACGCCGCTAACGTCACATGTGGACTTCAGCATCTCAATAGAAACCCCACGCCCCAGTCCGCTCACCGCTGTGGAAACTGCATTTCCCATTAACTTTCTCCGTAATTACTCAAAAAAATCCGCGAAAGCAAAGCCGCATCTCTCTTTCTTTCCTTCTGCTTGAACTTGACTGCACTCGGAATCACCATTTTCTTCGCCTCTTCGGTCAGTCGTTTCGTTCCTTAATTCGAGCCCCTAGTTGAAAGCTGTTTGTATTCTCACGATTTTTGATGGGGATTGTAACTTCAACAATCTCTTCTCCGTTCTTTCTGCCATGGAACGATACTTGACTTAGGGTTCCCGATCTAGCTCTGATTAGCCAGAAAAATCACGGATGGGCAATTAGATTTCGGTTATCCCACACCATGGCTAATCTAACGGAGCCTTCCTCCTCACTCACCTTCGCTTCTTCTTCATACGTTTCCAACGGATCGAGCGCAACAACGCCGGAGGTCGGAAATAGCTTGGAAGTAGTAAGCCTAAGTAGACTGAGCTGCAACCTCGAGCGGCTTCTTATCGAATCGGATTTCGATTGCAGCGACGCCGAGATAATCATCGATGGCTCTGCCATAGGTATCCATCGTTGCATCCTGGCAGCGAGGAGCAAGTTCTTCCATGAACTCTTCTCGCGAGACACTGCAACGGCGGGAGAGAAGAAGGGGGAGTTCAGAAAGCCGAGGTATGAAATGAGGGATTTGGTGCAGGGTGGGCGGGTAGGGAAGGAGGCCTTCAGGGTGTTCTTGAGCTATTTGTATACTGGGAAATTAAAGGCTGCCCCCCCTGAGGCGTCGACCTGCGTGGATGCGACGTGCGCGCACGATGCATGCCGGCCAGCAGTGAATTTTGTTGTCGAGCTAATGTATGCCTCTTCAGTTTTCCAGATTTCTGAGCTGGTTTCCCTCTTCCAGGTTCGATTCACTGCCTCTCTTTATTTTGCCGTGCTTAGAGAGAGGGAAAAAAAGCCATTAGATTGTTCTTTATAGGAAAGCTGTTCCTCAGTTAAATTTAGTTGAAAATGGTGTGAGACACTTACTCTTTAAAATTATGATAATTCTTTTTATTTTCAGGATACTGTTTTCTTTTAGAAAAACCTGAGTAACTATCACTACTTTGATTGTTTTTTTTATAAGAATATAAGCATGTCTTGTCATTTGACAAGGAAAACATCATGCATTTTAAGAAAACACATCTTCTATCTTGAACAAAATGCCAAAATTTAATTCATTAAATCCTTATCTAAGCTTTTGGTCGGAATACTGAATCCTGATATATTTTTTTTTTATTTAATTTGTGCTTAGCTTAGCTTTCTTTTGTTATTTGTTTTTTTGCTGCTATTTATGTATGACACAGACTAGATTTTGGAGCAAAAGTAGTGAAGTTTTATTCGTGAAGATAGTGGTATGGTAATTACAGGGGAGGGATTTTTGATTAACTATTTTTTTTAACTCTGTGCTGTAATTTTAAATTTGAGCTCTGTAGATGGATGGTTGGCCTAAAAGAGCATGTCACTTATCAAGATAGTACTTTGTAAATGCAGCATATACAATCAAAAAAGATTTTCTTGTGAAGGATAGAAATCTGTCTCAGACGTTTTTTTTTCTTACTTTTTGTATAAAGCTTGAAAGCTATGCACTTCGATCATTTTAGTTATGAACAATATAAAGGATGGTGTTACTCTGGTATAAATACAAGCCTGAGACAAAAAGAAAAAAAATACAAGTCTAGAACTTAAAATTTGTGTATTTTTTTAGTCTGCAAATTGAACTATAATAAGGAAAGGATTGAAATATTTTAATGAAGTATTCATTTGTATGGCCCTAGGTTTAAAAAGGCAAAGTTAAAAACCGAGTCATTGTTTCTTAGCATGGCAAGGCATAAGTCTTTAATTTGAAACAAAAAAATATTATAAAATTAAAGTTAAATCATAAATATGATATATGAGTGGCATATTGACTGTTCATTGTCATAAAACATGAATCATAAAATCATACAATGAATAAAAGAATGAAAATCTCAATCTTAAATGTTGGTGTGAAATAAAAGTTGAAAATGTGGTATAAGGTTGCAGTTATTTAAAATTTGAAGTCACTAAGAGTTTCAAGATCCACAATGGTATCATCCTTACTTTCAACATCTTCATAAAAGTTGTCATATATATGATAATTATAACATTATTTGATCTAGCTTTTCGTCATCTTTAATCACAATTTTTTTTTCCTTCTCAGTCCTTATATTTTTGTCAAATAAATAAAAAATATTTATCCTAAACAACAAGGCTTATATTCAAAAATAGACGATCTCTTTCTTTTGTGTGCTCTACACTCTAGAAAACAAGCTTCTTAGCTATCACTTAACTACAACTCTCTCAGTTAAGACTTCTGCTCGATCAAACTTGACACATACTAGACGCTCGAGCTAAATTGTAAGTTAAGTGAGGTCGGCTAACCTGATAGGATATATATTAGATATAAAACAAGGTATGTAAATGTAAAATATAATTTATTAGATATAATATAACATATATTAGATATGTAATATATTAATAGTTTGTTCTTACATTAACTTATTAAGATTCCTATATCAAATTACTCGAGGCATATGCCTTTTTTAAAAAATGTGCAAGCCTCACTGATGACAATAAGGCATAAGACTTTACATGTTTGTTGTGCATCTCTACATAAGATATGAATAGAAATAATTGCTCCATTGAAAAACTCAGCTATTTTTGAAAGGTTTGGGCTTATATAGAGCCTTACAACTTCCAGTAGTCCTCTATTCATCTTCTCCTTGATGAAGAACTTATCAATCTCCACATGCTTGGTTCTGTCGTGCTGCAGCGGGTTGTTGGCAATGTTGAATGCTGGCTTGTTGTCGTACCACTACGCCATTTTAGCTCCTTGGTCCACCTTGAGCTCTACTAATAGAGCTCTCAGCCATAACATCTTGATAACTCCCAACACCATGGCTCTGTACTCGGCCTCTTTTGTCGACCTTGCAACTACCGAGTGCTTCTTGCTCTTTCAAGAGACAAAATTACTCCATACAAACATGCGATATCTTGATGTGAACTCACTGTCATCATCACAACTAGCCCAATCAGAGTCGTTGTAGCCCTAAATGCCTAAATGCCCATTTCTCCTGAATATCAACCCCTTTCCCGGTGTACTCATTAGGTATCTCAGAATTTGTTAAACTGCATCCATGTTGCCCTTCCTCAAAACATGCATGTAGTGGTTCACCACGCTTACTGTAAATATTATGTCAAGACGGGTGTGACTCAGATAGATTTGACAACCTACTAAGTTATGGTACCACCACGATCAATTGGTTCTACCCTTGCACTCAACTTGTCCTTCTAATCAATTGGTGAATTTGCAGTCTTGCATTCCAACATGCATGTCTCTATAAACAAGTTTAGCACATACTTCCTTTGAGATAGAACAATCTCCTCTGCTCTACAAGCCACATCAATCCCAAGGAAGTATCAAGCTATCGTAGGTTCTTCACCTCAAATTTATGTAGCACCGACACTTCTAAAAATGTGTCAAGGCAGTGTCAGACACGTATCAGACCCTGACACTTGTTCAACATGTCTTGACACGTATCCAACACTACAAAATATATGTCTGAATTTTTTTCATGACTGGACACATCCGGGAGACAACTCAACACCACATGGGATGCGAGTTTAACACAATTTCGGAAAAATGTAACATGGGAATTAGAAAATTATAAATATACCTATAGCCTTAATTATACCTCATAGTCGAAACAGCCCTATCATTCTTCATTTGGAAACTCTATCTAATATTCTTCAAAATTGAGCATCGAATGTATATCCAATATTCGTTCCGACTGAGCATTTATAATTCCCTCTTTGTAATTATAACATTTTTAAAACTTTATCAGATAAGTTGGATTATAAGTAAGATGAATTCTTTTGAAACATATTTTATCTATTTTTAAAAATTAATTTTTATAAGCATGAGTTTTATAATATAAATTAAATTTATGAAGTTGAATTTTATTCTGCAAAATTTGTCTTGTGATATTTTTAGTACAAAATAATGAATATATATATATATATATATAGATATATATATATATATATATTATATTAGCAATAAATTAAATAAATATAAAACCGTACATATGACTTGTCGTGTCCTATTTTTCTCATATATGTCATGGTCTTGTATCGTGTCACATTTGTGTCCCTCTATCCGTGTCCGTGCTTCATAGTCTTAAACTCTTTACCCAGATTTGCCTTTAGTCAAACAATATTTTTCTCTAGTGACAATCATATCATCTACATACACTACAAGAACAGTAATCAGACCACCATATCATCGAAAGAATACTATGTGGTTGGAATTAATCTGTTGATAGCCCATGCCTATCATTGCTCTCTTGAATCTGTCAAACCGAAGCTCGAGGAGACTATTTCAAACCATATAGTGACTTTCTCAATCTACATACCTTTCTCACTGTTTTGTTTGTGTCAAAGCTTGGGGGCATCTCCATATACACCTTCTAAAGCAGATCACCGTGAAGAAATGCATTTTTCACATTCAGTTGGTGTAACACCCATCCATCATTCACAGTCCGAGAAACGAGTGTCCTGATTGTAGCTTATCTTTGCCACTAGTGCACATGTCTCACCATAGTCGATGTCATGCGTCTAACTATACCATTTGACGACCGACCTTGCCTTGTAGCGATCATTTTTTTCTTCTAGAGTCTGTTTTACTGTGAAGACCCATTTACATCCGACTACCTTTTTCCTTGTTGGTAACAAAGCGAGCTCCCACATTTTGTTCTTATTGAGAGCACCTAGTTCCTCTAACATGAAAACCTGCCATTTTGGATCTTCCTTTCTGGTTACAATTGGGCATAAAGATAGTGTTCCGTATACATGTGATACGTTAGAGTATGAGACACACTAAGCAATATCATGTGAGAAACCAAAACACTCAAGAGATTAACGATCAGGAGAATGACCCACATTGTTGTGAGAGGTCTTCCTTAAAGTCATGGGAGTGGGAGAAGAAGGGAGAAGAATCATTTCATGTGTCTTTGGAATTGGGTTAGACTGGGAGACGAGACTTGTTGGCATGAGTGGCGACATGCACTGTTCCCCCATTTTGCCTCCTCGTGTACATCCCAACTCTCTTTGAGCTTAACTTCCACCACCTTCAGGCTCATTTTTTTTCATGTATCGTCTCTTCTTCATTCGATCCTTCCCACACAATGGGACAAGGCATCATGCTCACATGTACCAATCTCTCATCATCACTATTCTCTCTTTCTCGCCTCATACCTTATCTGACAAGTCACCAAAAGGTGAGGTTACCTCCAAGGAGTAGTACGACTTAAATTCTTTAGAGTTTATATCCATACTCAGAATTAGTCTCTTCTCTATTGGGCTCCAACAAACATAATCCTTCTAAGTACCAGAATAACAAAAAAAAACACACTTCACTGCTCTTGGATTTAGCCTCCCTATTGATGGTATATTGTCCTTCATGAAACATCCACAATTAACTACCTTTAATGGGAGGATCCCGCCATTATCTCCTTTCAACAACTCAAAAAGAAATTGTCACTCCAATACTTGCGAAGACATTCTATTGATCAATTGAGTAGCTGTTAAAATTGTTTGCCCCCACAGACATTTTGGAACATTCATCGAGATCATAATACTTCAGTCTACCTCTAAAAGGTGCATGTTCTTCTTCTCTACTATGTTTTGTGTCGGCATATATGAACATGTGGTTTGATGTTGAATCACTTGGGCTGCATCTACTCCTCAAACACATTTTTGGTTTACTTTGTCCCATTATCAGACCTCAATATCTTCACTACTAAACCGTATTGAGTTGGAATCGCTTTTTGAAATTCCTTAAAGTAGACAAGCACACCACTTTTGTTTCTTATCAAATATAACCTAGTAACACAAGAAAAATAATCAATGAAAGTCATAAAATATCTATAGTCATTAACATTATCCCCATACATTTGAATGCATCAAATAAAAAAATACAAGAACTCCTATTACCAGAACTTGCATAGGAGCTCCTGGTATGCTTATCAAACTCACATGCATCACACACAAATTTTTGTTTAAATGCATTCTCATGTAAAGTCGGATGCATCCTCTATCACATCACCTGCTGCTTTCTGCTTCTCTTCAACATCTCCAGGTACTCATGAGGTCAAACCGTGATTGGTTTGAACTTTTGTTTGAACTTTTGTTTTCTTAGTCACGGTTTGACCTTCAATGTAAAGTTGTTGCAGGGGTTGGAAGATTGGTGGGGAATCTCATCTTGAGGTTGTGGGGTGGAACATCCAAAAGCTATCCAATATAATTAAGGATATTTTGGGAATTTTATTCAACTTTCATACATCCTTGCATTTAACTTTATAGTAAGAGATTGTGTGGGAGGTCATAGGTTATATGTCTTACAAGAGGAACTTGAGTTCTCTTTTTACCATCAACATAATGAAACATACTTTGGTCATAACATGTAGCTATCAATTAGGTTAACCTGCATAAACTTTTTATGTTGGGTTTTTTTTTTCTTTTTTGTTTTGTGAGCTGGTTGTCATTTTATTTTCTTCTTTTTTCTTATAACGCTCTATATGTCTACATTGGTTATACCTGTTTCTCAACAGGTGATTTGTAATTTAACAAGATAACAATATTTAATTTACTTGTAATTGATGCGCCTAGACTTAGTAGTTCAGAAAGAGAATAACCCATTGCTTTGAACATTCAAAAGTGCTGGATTAGATGCTACAAATATTGCAAACAATCTGAGGGAATGAATGCAAGTTACAAATTGATTTTCTCGTTGGCTTATGCAAAACTCATTGTTGATAGAACAAAGTGATTATTTTGGATGACACTTATTTAGTTTTAGGTTGTGTATTTCACAGGGCATCTTCATCATTATCAATTTAATTATTTATGCAGCTTCTTACGGGAAAAATAGTCTCCAAATTGAGTTTAATTCCTTGTGTTGTTTCCGTGTTCCATTTACGAAAGAGAAAAAAAAAAAATACACATACACACACCAGCTCATACCTTTCCATATTTTGAGCTTACAACTTACTTTTGACCGTGTACTCCTGAGGGAAATATTTTTTACTAAGAGAAAACTTCATCATCCTTGGGCACTCTACTTCTAGAAATTAGAAATTCAAGACTGGGAAATTAAGCATCTCTTATAGAGTACTTCGGAAATGTGTATTTTTGTTCTAATTAGGCCAATGCTCTTATGGAATCTAGAGTCTAGATTTCACTGGACTTTTTCAAAATGCCATTTCCCTAGTGATTCATGCATTATTATGATTCTAATTTTATTTAACTTTTGTTTTTGTTTTTAGCGCCGCCTTCTTAACTTTGTAGACAAAGCTCTCGTAGAAGATGTAATCTCAATACTCCTTGTGGCTTTCCGCTCAAAGCTCAGTCAATTGCAGAGTCACTGTGTCCAGAGAGTAGCAAGGTCTGATCTTGACAACATTGCTCTTGAGAAGGAAATCCCAATGGAAGTTGTTGATGAGATTAAATTGGTAAGGAGCTGCACTCAGCCAAATGACTCTGATGCTTCAAAAATGAACCCCATTCATGAGAAAAGAATTAGAAGAATCCATAGAGCACTGGATTCAGATGATGTTGAACTTGTAAAGTTGCTCCTATCTGAATCTGGTGTCACCATAGATGATGCTTATGCCCTCCATTATGCTGCAGCGTATTGTGATTCCAAAGTTGTTGCAGAAGTTCTGGATCTGGGATTGGCCAGTGTTAATCTAAAGAATGAGAGAGGCTATACTCCTCTTCATATTGCTGCTATGCGTGGAGAACCAGCAGTCATTGTGTCTCTTCTGAACAAGGGTGCCTCTGCTTCAGAAACAACAGCAGATGGCCAGAGTCCTGTTAGTATCTGTAGAAGACTTACGAGGGCTAAAGATTATTATGCAAGGACAGAGCAGGGTCAGGAGTCAAATAAAGACAGGTTGTGTATTGACATTCTGGAAAGGGAGGTTAGAAGGAATCCGTTAGCTGGGGATAAGGCAGTGGCATCTCCATTGTTAGCTGGTGACCTGCACATGAAGCTACTGTATCTGGAAAATAGAGGTCAGTTTCTCTGTGTTATTCTATGGAGTTACGTAGGAAGACTTTTTTTTTGGGTGTAAAATCAGCCAAAATGTTTCTGCTGGAACAGAAGATTCTGATCGTCTTCTCAAGGAATGATGGAATAGTTAGTTAACTGACTTATTTTGTTCATGAAACTATCTTTGGTACTGCAAAACTTGCATTATTGTAATTTTTTTTTTTCTCTAGGAACAGTGACATTTTATCAGTCGAACTACTTACACATAGAGTGCATTCCTTATCACTGATCATGACAGATAACTTGCCATATGCATTATCTGACTATAGCAAAATTTAATGACATTTTTAATAATTTGAAAAACATAATATGATTTACCATATGCATTAGGGAAATTTTAATATCCTCTTTCAATGTATGGCAAATTGGCAATGTCCTAATTCAATTTTTTTTTTACTTGGACGCTTAAATGCATGTATGAAAGACATTTATTTTTGACCTGTCAGCGTAATCAAGGGTACTTTCCCCCTCAAGTCCTTGGTTGCTTTTATCTGAATTAGACATTTTCTTATTTCCACAATTGCAGTTGCTTTTGCAAGATTGTTCTTCCCTTCTGAAGCAAAACTAGCCATGGAAATTGCACAAGCTGAAGCTACCTCAGAATTTGCTGGGCTTTCTACATCAAGGAGTGCTAGCAACTTGAGGGAGGTTGATCTCAATGAAACACCTAACACACAAAATAAAAGACTTCGTTCAACGGTAGAAGCCCTCATGAAGACAGGTATTCTGTTCTTATCTTTGAAGGATTCTTTTTTTTTTCTTTTTCTTTTTCGTTTGCTCTTAGTGAAATTCATGTTAATGTTTCTAATTTCTTCTGCTATCATACCTGAATTTATGTTTGCTGCCTCTTATTTTTGTTTAATAGTTAACTTATTCGTTTTGTGCTCAACTCAGCGCTCATTAAAAAAAAATTCTATCATTAGATGACTGGCGTGATGCTTAGGATTGTCATCCATCTAACGACACTTATTTTGAGCACTGAGTGGGACACCATTCACCAATAATGTTTCTCTAATTGCTGTCATCACCGTGTGGACTACTCTGACGCCATACGCAGTTGTGCTTCCACAAATTTCTTTTATTGTTTTATTTACTGCATGTCATTTTCAGGTGATGTTTATTCTATACCTATTCCTGATAAGGTGACTATGTATGAGTCCTTTTTATTCGTCAGCTATTGGTCATCCATTTGGAATTCTATCTCATAAATAGATTTTAATTTTTTTTTTTACTTGATGTGACATTTTGTGAAGTCTTTCTTGGTTTCTCTTTCCATTGACTGTTTCTCGTGCATGAGTTTGTCCATAAAAATTAATTTGGATGATGCAGCAACTATTTTATCTCATTCCGTTTCATCTCATATATTCTAAATTTGATGCTTTTGGTTTTAATAATCTCTTTATTAATATTTTTCTTTTGTGTGTGGTCGCTGATAGTTGAGCTGGGTAGACGCTATTTTCCACACTGTTCACAAGTGCTAGATAAGTTCATGGAGGATGATTTGCCTGACCTGTTCTATCTTCAGAAGGGCACACCAGATGAGCAGAAGATCAAGAGGATGCGATTTTGTGAGCTCAAGGATGATGTCCGCAGAGCTTTCAACAAAGATAAGGCTGAAAGCGGGCGTTCTGGTTTCTCTTCTTCTTCTTCGTCCTCATCATCATTAAAGGGAGACCTAAAGCAGCAGAAGACTACCAGGAAATAAAGCTCAGATGATTGCTGTATGCGTAGTTTTTACTAGAAGGAATTGGAGAACAGCCAATATTTAGTGTTGTTTTTGCTCGAGAGATTGATAGAGATTAGTGGCAACAGGTATAACCATATGTTGATGTGTGATTGCTTTGCTCTATGTAAAAGTAGCATTGCTTTCAGTTTGATGTAAGTTCTTGTAAGATATTAACACGGGCAGTTGTAGTTCATTAGTATTTACGTTTTATTTTATTTTGATTCGAATCCGAGTCTCATACTGAGAGAAAAGATTTTCTGCCAACCCCTTTACTAAAATTCTACATAGTTTATTTTCATTTGATGAAAATAATTATAAAATTTATTTCTCTTTAGAAAAGTAAATCTTTTATTATTTTTTCTTTATTTTTTAGATGAACATTTGAGTTTGGATTGGTTGGAGTATGAGGTCAGACGGAGTAGTTGTAAATTACCCTGAATTGAATTGTTGATGTGCCTTGTCACGTGTGTTGTGTCTAGTTTTGCTGCAGTGCTGAGGCGTGGAATTATTATGACATCTTCATTCATTTATTTGTATTCCTAGGTAGTCATTGGAGACTAAGTTCCCATAATTGGTTAAACTCATGGCGGAGCATTTATTCATGTCTGAATGCGTTTGTACTTAGTCAAGAGGACATGCAAAGTATCTTTTTTCTTTTTCTTTTCGTTTATTTTTTGTTTGGATCGTTACAAATAAACATTAAAATATTCTAGGCCATGTTAGAGAATCTGTTTTCAATTATTGTATTTGTGCGTTTATTTGTAATGTAGTCGTGGATTGTGTTGAAATCATGTTTATTATCTTTCTTTTAAAAAGTAAAAAAAACAAAAAAAAAATTACTATTTTTTGTTTAAACTTTAAATGTATTTGCTTTTCCAAATAAAAGATGTAACGTTATGATAATTTGATATATTTGAAAATAGTTTTAACAATTATAAGGAACTTGATACTCGAAATTATAGTTAGGTAAAATTAATAAAGTTGACTCTGTTTTGCAGCGGCACAAAAAATTTGCTTCATTATTTTATGAATAAGAAATTGAAGCAATTGATGTTGGGATTCCACGCAAGTATACGTATTGTTATCAAGTAATACAAGACTTTCTATTTAAGTTTCAAATATCGATCCCACGAAGAAGGTTTAAATTCAAACTGTAAATTTAAATTAGGAAATTTATAACAAAAAAGAAAATTTACTACACTAATTTCGAATATTTAAGGTGTTATCGGTATTAAATTATCAACAACTAGTAAAACTGCAAAGCAAAGCTAAACAATAACTACCAAACTATGTTTTTGTGATAAAGTTATCTAATATGAGAAAACCTCTTTCCCATTACAATGAGTTTTTGGTTAAATGAAAGAGATAAATGGTTTGAATTTGTATTGTGCCAAATATGAGCAATTTTAATTCTCTATCGTTAGTCAAGTGTAATAGAAAATCGTTGACTAATCTCAGGTTTAGTCTCTAAATCCGTGGTTAGGCTGGGAGGATATTGGCTCTCACTTCAGAGCTCGCTCCCACTTCCCTTCCCCTGTTCCCTTCCCCTGTAGGCTAACTCTCGCTTTAGTTCTTAAACACTAAGACCAAATTGAAGATTTTAGTCTGTCACCTTAGAATTTCTAATTCTTCGCCCAATAATATATATTTCGCTATTTATTTGCACCCAATTCTATGAACGAAACACTCCTTCATGAAATCAAATGTGACTCTCACTTTGTTGTCAAACTCATACTCCATTTCCCGGATAGTATGTTTCACAACAGATATTAACATTTCAATTGGTCAAATAGAAAAGTAAATTAAGAACGGAGTGAAAAATCATCACAATTTATTTTATATTTTAAAATTGACACATCCAAATTATCTCTTCATTTCACCATATCTCAGAGTAGGGAGAAAGACAAAGAAAATTACTTAGATCTCATGACAAAATTACGATAAAATACGAATTTCATAAATAAAAGAAAAATAATAAACAAACACTATAATAAACAAACACTACTTATCTTTAACTTTTCCTCAAAGCAAATCCCTTGTAGCCTCTCTTGGACTTTTTCTCTCTTTACAAGACTTTATTTTCTCTTCAAAGATGTAGGGAGGAAGAAATCTCTCATTTCTCTCCCTCTCTAACAACTCTTAAGAGAAATCACACTTAGACTCACAACACTAAACAATATACATAATGGAACACTCCAAAAAACTCAATAACACACTAGCACCCCCCTTTTCTCTGATCAATTTTCACTCTAAATAAAGCATAATGTCGGTTTTCCAAGAGGTGTATAACTCTTCAAAAAGTGTCCTAATTCATCTAATCTTCTAGAAATTCGCCCAGGACCCACATTGGCGTCGCCGACGCTCGTTGTCTTAATTATTTCTTGTGCTCTCTGTCAAATGGCGTCGTCAGCTCCCCCGCTGTTCTGGACTCCTCCTTCATGTTGGCATCATTGACATCCTTGCTGGCGCCGTCAACGCTGAGTTTTTCTTCCAAAATGTCATTTTGACTTCAAATTCCATCCTATTTGCTCCCTTTTTGCTTCAAGTGCTAAAAATCATCAACCTGCAATAAAACATGAAAAATATCTTCCTTTAAAGCGCAATATCGCAAAAAATGAGTATAAAATATATGTCTAAAAATGCATATATTTTTTAGTGCATCAAAATCTCCCAAACTTAAATGTTACTTGTCCTCAAGTAATTCCTTTACTACATAAAAATATGACTTATAATAAAGAGTTTAACTTCTAGATTTCCATATTTTGGTCTACTAAAATCTCTTAGCATAACTTTAAAAAAAATTTAAAAATAACTCAAGTTATTATTAACGGTATAAGAATATTTAGCAGTCAAGTCTAAGATTTCTAATTTTCTATTCTTTTCAGGGAAAATTACAAATTGTCATATTGAAGCCACTTAGAATTACCATATGAAAAAGAACTTCACGAAAACTTTACAAGTAAATATACTAATACTTAAATACAAGTTTAGAGTAGAGAATGTAGTCAAACCTTCTTACTTTAATTGATTTAAGTGAAACCAATTTTTGATTAGACATCTTCTTAAGCTTCACCTCATATTTTTTTTTCTCTTTTCTTTTAGGATCATTTTCAATTTTTCTCTCTTTTTTTTTCATGTGAGGATTACTATATCTGGATAGCCTTTAATGATTTTGAACTTCACTATCCTCTTCTTATCCTCTTCTTAAAGTTTCTTAAAGTTAAAATTTTTCACATTCCTTCACTTTATAAATTCATATCAGCTTTGAAGATTTTTCATAAAATTTCATTATTTTCTTCTTACATGAAACTCTAAGATTCTTAATATTTCAAAAATACAAATTTCCTTACTTAAAATGGAAAAACATAGTCTTATTCTCTCATACCAAATACCTTAATCTCTAGAATTAACCTTTATTATTGAAAGTTTTTACTTAAGTTTACTATATTTTTAGAAACACAAATATAATTATCCAAAGTAAGGTTCTACTACCACAGGTCAAGTTAAATTAATAATTTTAAAATATAGCTAATTGAGGATAAATAAAATTAAGTTTATTTCTTTAAAAATGAATTTTTCTTCCCCCCAAAATTAGATTTCTAAAAGATTAAGCATGTAAAATTGAAATTACAGGGTGAAATAAAACAGTTAATACATAAATAAAAGACTTACATGTTGAAGGTTTTGATTTCTTTTGAAACTTAACTTTGAAATATTGCAGGTACTTGCTGAGAAAGAGTTAACTAAAAATAAATACAACAAAGTACTAAAAACAAATAACAGTACTAAAATAAATTTTAATTCAACAACATCTCTACAGATTGTAGTTCACAACACAACATTCAATATAAATCAAAGTTTCACATTTAACAAACTAAAAAATAACAACAACAACAAAATGCGACAAACTATAAACTAAATAAAAGATCAAAACTATGACTAAGAAGCCATCTTCATTCATCCTCTTCTTCTTCTTTTTCTTCTTCTTCTTCTTCTTCTTCTTCTTTTCCTTCTATATCAAGGTTTTGCTACTGATAAGGGGTAAAGATAGGGTGACTAGGAAACTGTACTGAGTGGTCACCCCTCATGTCTCTTACCATAGCATCATCATATGCAGCATCATATTCAAACTTTTGCTTTGTCAAATTATCATTATGTGCATTTCTGGCCTCCAAATTTTCAATCTTGTTCTCTATTCTCAAGACATCTCCTTGCTGGATCATCATCTGTTCCATAAGTTCCTGGAGAGTAGGGGTGCTAGAAGCAGTAGGAATATCCCTAGTCCTACTTCCCGTTCTCCATCTAACATGAGATTCATAGGTTTTAACATTTGCTGGCCTAATAGGTTTAAGAGGCTCAATTCTTTCCTCATCAATTCTAAAATCAACTCCTGATTGCTCACATAATGTGAAAATCTGGGCAGGGTGTCCTAATCCACCAGTCATCTCACCCATAACAATAGAATGAATGTTTTTATAGATTAAAGTTCCAACATCTAGACTGCCCATATGTTGGATACAAAAGTTCAGGATAACTCTATCCTTAGTAACTTCAGGTATCATTCTGGCAAATATAAAGTAATGTCAGGCCTTGGATACTACATACTACATTTAACATAGAAGCATAACATAGAAGCAAGAAAGTTTACCTTAATATTATTCTTCACCTTCCAAGCTCCTCTTCCATCAGTAAGAAGTGAAATAACTTCATTCAAAGCCTAGTTTGTAGTAGAGATTGTGTTGTACTTATAGAGAAATGCTTCTTGCAACTGATAAAGTTCATTAATCCAAGTTCATTAATCCTCCTAGAATCCTCCTAGAAGTGAATTCAACCATTTTACCACGAACATAAATGTGGTCATCAGAAGTCTCTTTAAAATTGGCATATAACTCCATAACTATACTAATAACAACCTCGACAGTAAAGTAATAGAAATTCTCCCACTACCAAGCAACAATTAGTCTCTCAACTTCACCACCCAGATTTTGGAACGCTCGATCCAGAATTATTTTCTTTTTATTCAGTAGGCTATTAAAATGAATACTAGCTTTGTAGTTGATGAATTTTTGGTCATCAAATTCTAATTTCCTCTTTTTATTGCTCATCCTTGGTGCCATTGTAATCTTCAAAGAAAGAAGAAAAATTGATTAAATCTAAATAAATTCTAAAAAATTTGAAAATCACAATGTGGAACGTTCTAAACTTAAATCCAATAAGTAATAGTTCTTC